CCTAAGCATGTTATTCTTTCTGATATAAATGAATTGTTTTTGTAATTTCCTTTTCAGAGAGCTCCCGGTTCGTGTATAGAAATGCAACTGATTTTTGTGTATAGACTTTGTCTCCTGCTACTTTCCTGAATTCATCTGTTAGATCAAACGGCATTTTTTGTGGAGTCTTTCGGATTTTCTACACATGAGATGATATCATCTTCAAACAGAGACCATTTTCCTCCCTCTTTCTATTTTTGATTCCTTTTATTTATTTATTTATTTTTATTGCCTCATGGTTCTGGCTTGATCTTTCAGTACTGTGTTGAATAGAAGTGGTGAAAGTGGGCATCCTTGCCTTGTTCTTGATCTTAGAGCTTTCAGGAAAAGCTTTCAGTCTTCCATCACTGAGTATTATGTTTGCTGTGTGTTTTTCCTCCTATTCTTTGTTTGTTGAGTGTTTTATCATGAAAGGGTGTTGAATTTTGTCGAATGGTTTTTCTGCATCAATTGAGATGATTCTGTTTTTTCCCCTTCATTTTCTTGATGTTGCATATTACATTGATCGATTTTTGTATGTTGAACTACCCTTGTATATCAGAAATAAATTTCACTTGGTGATAGTGTATAATTCTTTTAATACGCTGTTGAACTCAGTTTGCTAGTATTTTGTTGAGGATTTTTGCATCTATGTTCATCAGGGGTAATGGTCTGTAATTTTATTTTCTTTTAGTGTCCTTGTCTAGTGTTGGTATCAGGGTAATGCTGGCATCGTAAAATGTGTTTGAAAGTGTTCCCTCTTTTTCAATATTTGACAGAGTGTAAGAAGGCTTGTTTTTAAAGATTTTATTTATTTATTTTCCCCCCAAAGCCCCAGTAGATAGTTGTATGTCATAGGTGCACATCCTTCTAGTTGCTGTATGTGGGACGCGGCCTCAGCACGGCCGGAGAAGCGGTGCGCCGGTGCACGCCAGGGATCCGAACCTGGCCCGCCAGCAGCAGAGCGCGTGCACTTAACCGCTAAGCCACGGGGCCGGCCCAGAAGGCTTGTTTTTAAAACTTCTTTATATGTTTGATAGAATTCACCACTGCAGTCATATGGTCCTGGGTTTTACTTTTTTCAGGGATTTTTTTTTAGATTTCTTGAAATATTAGTGACATATAATGTATGTAAGTTTTAGGTGTTCAAGATGATGATTTGTGAAAGGATTACCACAATATGGTGAGTTAACACCTCCATTCCCTCACATAATTAACTTGATTTTTCTAACGATCACGTTTAAGATCTACTCTCTTAACAACTTTCAAGTCTATAATATAGTATTGTTAATTATGGTCACCATACTGTACATTAGATCCCCAGAACTTATTCATTTTACAGCTAGAAACTTGTGCACTTTGACTCACATCTCTCCCTTTCCCCCACCCCCAAGGTCCTGGCAAACACCATTCTAGTCTCTATTCCTTTGAGTTGGGCTTTTTTAGATTTCACATATGAGTGAGAATATATAGTATTTGTCTTTGTCTGACTTATACCACTTAGCGTAATGCCTCAAGTTCCATCTGTGTTGTTACAAAATGCAGGATTTCATTCTCTTGCATGGCTAAATAATATTCTATTATATATTTCATGTATATATACATATGTCTAACATTTTCTTTATCTATTTATCTATTGATGGTCACATGGATTGTGTCCATGTCCTCAGTTTGTGAATAATGCTGAAATGAACATGGGGGTGCAAATATCTCTTCAGAATAGTGACTTCAATTCCTTTAGATATACAACCAGAAGTGGAATTGCTCATTTATATAGTATTTCTATTTTTATGTTTTTGAGAAAGTTCCATATTTTTTCCCATATTGACTGTAGTAATTTACATTCATACCACCAGTGCACAGGATTCTTTTTTCTACCCAGCCTTGCCAACGTTTGTTGTGTGCTGTCTCTTTGAGAATAACCATTCTAGCAGGTGTGAGGTGATATCTCAGTGTAGTTTTGATTTCATTTCCCTGATGATGAGTGATTACATGCATCTTCTCATGTACGTGTTGATCATTTTTATGTCTTTTTTGGAAAAGTATCTATTCAGGTCCTTTGACCATTTTCATATTGTTTTGTTGGTTTCTTTGCTGTTGAGTTGTAAGAGTTTCTTATATATTGTGGATGTGAACCCCTTTAATTTGTTGATTGTTCATCTGCTGTGCAGAAGCTTTTTAGATTGATGTCATCCCACTTGTTAAGTTTTACATTTGTTGCTTGCACTTTTGATGTTATAACCAAAAAAATGGTTGTCAAGACCAGTTTCATGGGGCTGTTTTCTCTATATTTTCTTCTAGTTGTTTTATATTTGGTGTCTTACATTTAAGTCTTTAATTCAATTTGGGATCATTTTTAGAGTGGTGTAAAATAGGGGTCTAATTTCAGTTTTCTGCATGTGGTTATCCAGTTTTCCCAACACCATTTATTGTAGAAAGTAGCCGTTCCCCATGGAGTTTTCTTGGCTGACTCGTCAACTGTTAGCAAAGTGTATGTGTATGGTTTTATTTCTGGGCCATTGATTCTGTTCTATTGGTCTATGTGTCTCTTTTTATACCTGTATCATACTGTTTTTATTATTATAGATTTGTACTAAAGTTTGAAATCAGGAATTGTGATGCCTTCAGCTTTTTCTTTCTCAGGGTTGCTTTGGTTATTGGAGGTCTTTTGTGGATCCATATGAATATTAGGATTGTTTGTCCTATTTCTGTGAAAAATGTCATGGCAATTTTAATAGGAATTGCATTGAATCCTGAGACGGCATTGGGTAGCATGGACATTTTAACAATATTAATTCTTCTGATCCATGAACATAAGATATCTTTTCATTTCTTTGTGTCTTTGATTTCTTTTATCAATGTCTTATAGCTGTCAATGTCTAGATCTTTCACCTTCTTGGTTAAATTTATTTATGAGTATTTTACTGTTTTTGATGCTATTATAAACCTGATTTTTTTCTTTATATCTTTTTTAGATAGTTCATTGTTAGTGTACAGAAAGGCAACAGATTTCTATATGTTGATTTTGTCTCCTGGAGCTTGAGTGAATTTGTTTATTAGTCCTAACAGTTTGGGGGGGAGTCTTTAGGTATTTCTCTATATAAAATCATATCGTCTGCAAACAGAGACCACTTTGTTTCTTCATTTCCAATTTGGATGAATTTTATTTCTTTTTCTTGCCAAATGTCTCTGATACAGACTTGCAGCAGTATGTTGAAGAGTGGTGTTGAGACTGGGCACCCTTGTCTTGTTTTTTGTCTTAGCAAGAAAACTTTCAACCTTTCATTGTTCAATATGATGTTAGCTGTGCGTTTTGTCATGTAAACTTTTTATTATATTCAGGTATGTTCATTACGTAACCCTTTATTGAGAGTTTTTATCATGAAGGGCGTTGAATTTTGTCAAACTGCTTTTTCTGCATCGATTGAGATTATTTTATGATTTTTATCTTTCATTCTATCAATGCAGTGTTTCACATTCAATGATTTGCATCATGTTGAACTTGATCCTTTTTTTGAGTTTAGGTAGTTTTGTTATAATGTGTCCTGGAGAAGAAAGTTTTAGTATGAAAATTTAGGTTGACAGATTGGCTTCAGGACCTTGGATGTCTACATCTCTCCCCAGATTTGGGAAGGTGTCAGCTGCTATTTTTTTTAAGTCAAATTTCTTTTCCTTTCTCCCTGTTTTCTCCTCTGGTACTTTAATAATGCTTATCTATTTCTTTTCATGGTATCCCATAATTCACACTGCCTTTCCCTATTCCAATCCATTCCTTTTTTTCTTTTTGCTTCTTTGACTTGATGATTTCAAATGACACATCTTCTAGTTCACTAATTATTTCCTGTACATGGTTGAATCTGATTTCGAAGCTCTCTATTGAATTCTTCAGTTCAGTCATTATGTTCGTCAACTCTAGGATTTCTGTTTGTTTTTCCTTAATGATTTCTGTTTCTATGATGAACTTCTCACTTGTTCATGCACTCTTTCCTTATTTCATTTAGTAGTCTATCTGTGTTTCCTTAGAATTTTATGAATTTCTCAAAGAGGGTTGTTCTGAAATCTTTGTCACATAGTTCCTATATCTCCATTGCTTGGTCGGTCATTGGAGTTTTATTCTTTTTCTTTGGTGGTGTCATGACTCTTTGATTATTCATGATCCTTGTGGCCTTCCATTGGTGTCTGCAAATTTGAGGAAGTAGGCACCTCTTCCACTCTTTACAGACTGGCTTTAGCAAACCAAAGCCTTCACAGTAGCCCATCTAGGGGTCCTGGGTAGGCCATCTGGTGGTGTCCAGGGGCAGGCTTTCTGCTGGAGTCCTTGGGCAGCCTGGTACAGGGGTGAGTGGAAAGATTGGGTCCACGGTATTGTGTCTGGCCCTGGGCACAGCTGGGACCCTGAGTTCATAAGTAGCCCCACTGGAGCCTGGTTTGGCAGGTCCTCATTGAGAGCCTGCAGCCACAGGAATCATCCAGGGCTATGGGAGTTGGCCAGTGCTGGGATTATCTGAGAGCCTTGGTTCACGGGAGACAGCCAGGAGCCTGGCGCCACAAGAGACAGCTTGTGCTGTGGTAGGCCAGAAGTCTGGATTCCTGGGAGCCTCCTGGGATCCTGGGGCCACAAAGCTGCCTGAGGCTGCAGGACCCAGCAGGCACTGGGTCAAGATGGAAGCCGGGGTTCATGGGAACCTGCCGGTGCCTGGTGCAATGGGAGCTGTCTGTGGCCACCTGAGTCAGCAAGCACCTGGGTGAGCTGAGGACCTGGTGTTGTGGGATCCTGCCAGGAGCATGGTTCCATGAGAGCTGTCTATGGCTGCTGGAATTGGCAGGTGGTGTAGTGAGCCAGGGGCCTGAGTTCCAAGCAGGCCCCGGGGAGCCTGGTGCCATGGAATCTACCTGGGGTTGCTGGATCCAGCAAGTGCTGGAGTGACATTGGGTCCTGGGTTTGTGGGAGCCCACTGGGTGCCCTGGTACAGAAGCTGCCTGGGGCTGTGGATGTTGCCTGTGGCTGCCTGAAGTAGGCAGGAACTTGGGTGAGCCAGAGTCTGGATTCACAACAGCCCACCAGGAGCCTGGTGCCAAGGATACCACTTGGGGTCACAGGAGCCACCTTGGGCTGCTGAAGATATCAGCCCATAGGCTGAGATGGGGGCCTGGGTTCCCAGGAGCTGGTGGGAGCCTGGTGTCAAGGATGCTGCTTGGGGCCACCAGAGCTGGCATGCTCCAGGGTGAGCCAGGGGCCTGGATTTGCAGAAGCCTACAGGGAGATTCCTAGGTCCACAGGAGTCAGCTTGGGGCTGGGAAAGGCTGGCTCACGGGTCTATGGTGAAGTCAGGCAAAGTGGAGAAGTCTCTTTTTGTTGGGAGGTATTTGATTACTGATTCAGTCTGATTATTTGTTACGGGTCTGTTCAGGATTTCTATTTCTTCATGATTTAGCTTTCATAAGTTGTTTCTAGGAATTTATCTATTTTGTCTAGGTTATCCAATTTATGAGTGTACACTAGTTTAGAATAGTCTCTTCTGATATTTTTCTTTCTGAAGCATCAGTTGTAATGCCTCTTCTTTCATTTCTGATTTAGTTTGTTTGAGTCATCTCTCTTTTATTCTAAATATTTTATCTAAGGTTTTTATCAATTTTATTGTTTCAAAAAATCAACTTTTACTTTTATTGATCTTTCATACTTTCATTTTTTTCCACTTTCCTCTTGGTGACTTCCATCCTTCTGCTCACCTTGGGTTTTATTTTTTCTTTTTCTAATGCTGTGTGTTGTAAGTCAGGTTGTTTCTTTGACATCTTTCTTCTCTTATAATGTACAAGTTTATCACTATAAACTTTCCTCTTAGTACTACTTTTGCTGCATCCTATAAGTTTTGGTGTGTTTATTGTCTCTTTTTGTATGTCTTGAGCTATTTTCTAATTTCCTTTTTTATTTCTTCTTTGATATACTTTTAAGTTTAAGAGTTTTTGTTGAACTTCTACGTATTATGAATGTTCCAGTTTTCCTTCTGTTATTGACTTCTTGTTTCATGCCATTCTGTTTGGAAAAGATACTTGGTATTATTTCAGTTTTCTTAATCTTTCTTGTTAAGACTTGTTTTGTGACCTAACACGTGATCTGTTCTTTAAAATAGTCTGTGTGCTCTTGAGAAGGGTGTGCATTTTGTTGATGTCCCATAAAATATTCTGTGTATGTCTGTTAGGTCCATTTAGTATTTAATGTTTTCATGTCTGCTATTTCCTGATTTTCTGTCTGGATACTCCATCCATTGTTAAAAGTGAGGTATTGAAGTCTCCTACTATTTGCAACTTATATAACTGAGAAGACTCTAATATTGAGAATATTATAAAGATCTCTTAGAATTCAATTATAAAAGACAAGTCAATGAAAAGAGGTAACCAACTGGGATAGACATGTGTCCAGAAAATACATAGATGGCCAATAAGTACAAGATAGATGCTCAGTATCATTAATAATTAGGAAAATGCAAATTCAAAGCACAGTGTGATACTATTTCATGCTCAAAATGAAGGCTATATTCAACATAATGGAAAATGACAAGTGTTGGTAAAGGTGCGGAGAAAGGGAAACCCGCATACATTACTGGTAGGAAAGTAAAATGATGCAGCCACTGGAGAAAACAGCTTGGCATTTTTAAAAATCTTAAAGCTAGACTAACCATTGACCTGGACAGGCCCATGGTATATGTCCAAAAGAGCAAACTTGCCCATGGACATTCAAAGCGGCATTGTTCACAATGATTGAAAAGTGGAACAAACCCAAATTTCTATCCAGTTATGACTGCATAAACAAAATGTGGCCTATTCATAATATA